AGAATGATATATTTATTGTGTGTAAGAACGAATTAAAATTTTCAATTGAATTTTGAAATTGGGGATACTTATTAGTTTTATGTACAACGATTGATTTTTTTTATTAGTTTTATAATTGGGAGAATTTGACTTTGCACCCCACTTTTTGGGTGATATTGGACTTTGCACCCCATTTTAAAAAACATTTGACTTTGCACCCTATCATCTAAAATTTGTGAAGGAAAATTTCAAAATGGGGTGCAAAGTCAAAGGATTTTGAAGTGAAATGGGGTGCAAAATCAAAGTTTTTTTGAAATGGGGTGCAAAGTCCAATTTCATCCCAAATGTGGGGTGCAAAGTCAAATTCACCCTTTATAATTTTATAGAAGTATTTTAATGCATACCAATATTGAAGATGTTTTTTAGAATGGATAATGAACATATTTGTCAAAAAGGGAAATGAAATGAACATTCACCAATTATGAAACTGAGCTAACGTTTGGCTCGATAGGTTTCGGTGTTCAATTTTAACGCTCGATAAATATGTTTGAATGTCGAAGTTTAGACAATACTCATTAATAGATTCATGTTCGAATTATTCAATATATAATCGAATGTTTAACATTTATTAATAAATTTATACAATTGTACCAAAACTTTTAAATTTTATGACATATATAATTTATTCCTATAACTTATGAGTGAATGCTAGACTCGAGTCCAGATCAAACCAAGCATCACTATGTTCGAACATGGCCTGAATAACTATTCAAACTCAAAACCTAGTTCGTGTTCGAGTTCGAAGCTCGTTAAGCTCAAGCCATTAAATTAGATTCGAAATCAAGCACAAATTCAAGTATATAATTCAAAAAAAGCTCAATTCGATAACAATCCTGATCTAAACTTTGTATGTATAGTAACATTTTTTACTGCTTAGCCCACCCAGAGGCGTCTTCAGCATTTCGGAGGCCCTAGACAGAAAAAAAAAACTTACGACAAAAAACATCTTGAAAAGAGATAAATTGAATAAAAAAACAGCATATAGAAAAAACATATTCAAAGTTGACCCGTAGAGCCGGCAAACGATTGTATAACCAAATCTTTCTGCAATTTATTCTTTCTTTTTGTAGACCCCGAGTCAAATCTCCGCTTTCCGGTCATACTAAAGACATTCCTAATGAGTAATGACAATATTCATAGATAATACAAAGTAACAAAAATCACAAATTAATTAACAAAAAACCTAAAACTTCTATTCTTCTAAATACAATGACAAATTAAACACAATATATAACTACTTTACTACTACCAATATCATCAAATTAATCGTTTCATGTATAATGTATTTATCAAATATCATCGTATTCATCTAAATACCTAATACTGTAATACTGATATCCAGTAGGGGAAATCGGCAATACATATAACTATATAAGTTAAAGAATTAAAGTTATACACTATCCGTACAATAGTAACTACTACTCCGTAATTAGAATCTGACTTTAAAAGATAAAAATGCCTATATTGCTTTTCTACTTGTCTGCCATATACGAAGTAGTTTATCTTAGCCTATACGGAGTATTACTTTAGCTCTTGGTCGGTTGGCCCCTTTACAGCCACAAGTTTTACTCATTTAGGCCATCATCTTTATGCCTTAGAGAATATAGTACTTCAACCAGAGTATGTGCCACAAGTATATGTATTTCATTACTGGGTTAGAGAAATAAGAGAGCAAACTCAGAGTCAAACTCGGAATAGAATAAGCCGCTCACAGACTCGGAACAGAGGATTTCTTCAAGTCCTTTGCGAATCGGCATTTAGGCGTCAGGGCAGATACTTGAGATTTCAACCAGAGACTAGAGAGCTGTATGCGTAAATTAGACTCCACGGTCCAGAATCCAGATAACTACTCCGTAACTTATTATTTCTATTATCATTATTATACATAATAGGAGATTAATAGGTAATCCTAATAGGCATTTTTAATTTTTTGGAGGCCCCATTGGAATGTGAGGCCCAAGGCACTTGCCTGGGCCAACTCCCCATAAAGCCGCCTCTGAGCCCACCCCATCTCTCAATCCTGTATCCGCCTGTTTGTAGTATAGAAGTTTTATTAGGAAGGGAGGGAGTATTGATTAATTGCTTAAATGCAATCTCGTCCCTTCCCCTTTGTTATTTAAGTCCGAGAATCTAGTCAATAAGTGGCGATTGTGTTTTAGGAAAGGTATCCCAAGTCCAGGCCAGAACAAAAGCAAAGCAATGCAAACAGGTAGCAAATGCCGTTCATTAGATAGGTGAACTGTAAACTACAGGGCCCTCAATAATTAAAATCTCTTATAAAGTGTTCCTTGGTCCTTAGATCCAATTCTTGTCTTCATCTCATCAGTACATATCTTCACATCCAAGTACTGTAGCCAATAGCATCAAACAAAAAAAAGAATACATAGAGCTGTTTGGATCTGATTCTCAAAACTGCTTCTGCTTCTTGAGTGAACATAAGTAGAAGTTGAAGTATTTGGATGAAGGTGCAGATGTGATTATGTTGCTCTAATTTATTACCCCCTCCGATTTTATTTAATCTTCACACTTTGACTTCACACAAAATAAGGAAACAAATTTAACTTTACTGTAGAGTACACTGTTGAGGCACTGTTTGACACTGTTTGGCACTGTAGAGACACTATTTGGCACTGTTGAGACACTGTTTGGCACTGTTTGGCACTATTTTGATGTAAATTTCTTTGCCAAAAAAGAAAATGAGGAAGTGTGAAGTTTATTTTAGACCGTCCCAAAAAGGAAAGTGTGAAATTTATTAAAAACCAGAGGGAGTACTAAAATTGGTTTTTTTAGGAGCTAGAAGAGACCAGTTTATGAAAATTGATTCTGATTCTGATTCTGCTTCTGCTTTAAAAAAGAAGCAGAATCAGTTTATAACACCCCAATTGTAGTATTTATTCTTATTGGACATTGTCAATTTTGAATTAGGTTACAAATAAGAAAAGTAAAAATTATGTAATTACAGTTTGTATAATACTACGTATGAGTAATCGAGTAGAACCACAATTCAATTACTTTAATAAAAAAAAATTAAAACATCAAAATAGCAAATTAATCCGTACTGTAGCATTAAAACAGATGCATGGGAAAAAAATCATGTAGATTACACAGTTGATGCTCGACTTTTGCTTTTGACAAACCCACATACCTACAAATCTACAATCCTGAAGAGGTCATGGTCAGTCTATTCTACAATTGTACTAAAGTATGAAAAATAGAAATCACGCCAAATGTTCTAAAATTTGTTCTTAAGTAAACAGAAACGGCATCATTGTAAATTCTAAAATAAAAGTATAATATTTTTTCTTGAAGAGAATTAATGGTTTTCATGTTGAGATAATTGTACCATTTATGACATTAATATTGTAATATTAATTTCATAATCTCAAAATATGATAGTGTAATTTCAACTACAGTAATTTACTTCTTTGTATTGAGGGAAAAAATGGGAAAATTATTTGTGACCTTCCTTCAGGTTTCACACGTTATCACCTAGATCTCTCCACTATAAAAAATATACTCTTACCTCATCCCTATTCTTTAATGAGAGTTTAATAACTCCTAATCATGTTTAGCAAAATTATAGATTTAATCTTGTAAATTTACTCACTTGCAGATTTGATTCGGTACCACATAAATTTATTCGCATTCCGATTTTTTTCACCAGAAAGTACACTATGTGACGAAAAATTTGTGCTTTCCGATGCATTAGTCCTTAATATAGTCATATTTATTAGTTATAGAGCTACATCTATATGAGAGTAAATTTATAGGACTATTAGGGGACACAATAAAAAATACAAGCATAAGACAACAAATCTTTATTACTTTTAAAAGTTCAAAACTATCCATGAGGTTGTAGAAATCTTCGTGAAACATACATCTCAAATCAGAGCTTTTCTTCCCCTCGTAAAAAAAAGGTTATTAACTTCATCAGTTTTCTTAAAAGCAGTCCCTAATATATTTTAGATATAATAAAAATATTTTTAAAGTTTCAATGAACAATATATAGAATTACAGTTCAGCTAAACACTTGGAATAATAGTTTATACCCTAAAAAGATGTTGGTGAATGATCTTTAGGACAATATTTTACCTATTTTAATATTGTATGGGAAATACTTAATTTCAAGGTCGAGATAGTAAGTATTTCCCATAAAATTTTAATAGGTGCAATATTGTTCTAAAAATCATCCACCAACATCTGTTTTAGGTATAAAATAACATTCCCAAAGTTTAGCTAAACTGTAATTATGAATAATGTTCATTCAAATTTTTAAAATATTTTTATTATATCTAAAAATATATTAGCAGAAGAGTGCTGAAACTAATAAAAAAATTTACGTGAGAAAAAAAATAGCATGAAATGTATATTTCACCAAGATTTCTACAATCTCAAAGATAATTTTGAACTTTTAAGTGTAATATAAATTTGTTGTTTAAAATTCGTACTTTGGTTCTATAAATTTTCAAAATTCACATTGCTTTTACTCATATTTTCTGACATTTCACCTTATTTTTAGTATTTTTTTTTCTCTTGTTCAAATTACTCCACTAAAAGGGGCACAACCGCACAATTGGAAGTCAAAAGAAATAAATTATTTCCATAATATGTGTGCAATTAAGAATCCAGTCCTTCAATAATATTTGTATGGTTCTATTGTATTGTTTCTTTACTTACTTTTGCACTTGATCAATTCCATACAAATCATAATAGTTTACTTTACTAAAAAAATATACCACTCTTAAATTCTCACTCTCTTTATTTCTTAAATCTTTGACAATTTTTTTTTGTTGTCTCATAAACTTATGCACTTTCAGATTTAAATAAAAAGTTTCTGGTTCCAGTTAATTCTTTTTCTTCTGCATAGACGTTAATCGCACATATTTTACTTTATTAATTTTTGTGTCGATCAAAATTAGCAAGTTTTAAGAGAGGAAGGCAGTATATTTCAACCTCGTCGTCTTGAATCTTGAAAAATCGGAAGTAATCACCACAAACCTTGAAATATGGATTAGGCAACTCTGATTTATGAAGTCTATGAATAATGTGTAGGTAGGATTAAGCGATTCATTGAATAATTTGAATATCCTATCTATCTCTTCTTCCTTTTAGACTTACCTTTACAAAACAAAGACCCCAAACCAAAAAATGTATGTTTTGTGTTGTAAGTAGGTGAGATGTTCAAAACAGGGATGACCCTGACTCCATACCCAGAAGATCTGAAGCTACAGCTCTTCTTCAATGGACTGTTCATTGTCTTCTTTGATGGCATCAAATGGTTATGTCTATGAGTGTTGAATAGTACTGAAGAAACTGAACGCGATAGAAACGGCTCCGGTCTCGATCTCTGCTTCCGGGCGGCCTCTGCCTGCGGCGGCGGAGCAGAGGGCTTTCCGTTTGGAGCGGAACCGGTGGAATTGCTCCTAGATAGGAACTGCAGCGACCGGACTAGGCTGTTCCCTCGGCGGGTATCGCAGTTCAGGCTGCTACTCCGCCGGAATTGCCAGAAGTGCTTCGCCGGCGACGCGGGAGTTTCCTTTTCCGGCTCCGGCTCAGGATTTGCCGACAAGAACTCCTTCAACATCTTCTTGTTCTCGTCGGAATTTGCGATCTGGGGCTGCCGGGATTTGGAATCTGTGAAGGGCGCGGCGGGTTTCTTGATCTGAACGGGAAGGATCTTGCCGTCGGCGAAGAGCTCGTCCGCCGGGGAGAGTTCCGGGATGAACCTGGTGCAGAAATCGAAGTCGATGGTGGGTTCGAAGAGGAGAGGATCGGGGAGACAGAGGCGGTGGAATTCGGTGGGGACGGTGTCAGATTGCCGGAGATCATGGGAGAATGAGATTCTTGGACTAGAGGAAGCATCATCAGAACATACATCCACTGCCATGGCTGCAAGAGAACAGGGAAATGTTGGCAGAAATGAAGTGTGTGATATAGTGGGGGTGTGGAGTGAATGAGGGAAATTATGTCAAAGAATGTCAGCTTTTGCTTTTTATGCTAAGGTAATTAATTAATTTATAATAATATAAGGGAGATTTACATAAATAGGAGTAAATAAATCTTTATTTGTTAAAACAGGACTGAAGTTTAAATATTCCCTATATAGGAGTTATTGTTTCTAGTTTGACAAAAACACCCCTGAAACTTGGAAAAGCTGCCAGCAGTAATCAGACCCCCACCGGTCTCCAGTTTTCGCCGCCGGTCTCCGATCACCACCGCCGGTCTCCGGTCGCCGATGCCGGTCTCCGGTCGCCGATGCCGGTCTCCGGCCGCCGCTACCACAGAATCCGCTGCAGATCTGGCTGCCGCCATCGCAGATCTGGTCACCGCCGTTGCAGATTTGGCCATCCCCGCCGGAGATCTAGTATCCGACCACCATCGACCGCTGCCGCTACAGATCCGGCCTCCGCCGCTGCACGTTGGGCCTCCGCCACTGCAGATCTGGAGCCACCATCACTGAAATCAACTTTTATATCAAAATGCCAACCTGAGTCGAGAATGACATTTTAATGACATTTTCAAAGAAAAATATGTCATTTTTGAAGAGTAAAAGGCCATCTTCATGGCAATTTAAAAACAAACTTTGTCATTTTTTTAAATCAAGAGATTGCCATCGTTGAATGCAAATGGGCCGAAGGATCTGGAATTTTCAGAATCTCGATGGAACAAAAGAGACGTATTGAGAATTTCAGGTCTAATTGTAATCATCCAACTGATATTTGTAAGAGTATATAGAGGGAGATACTGAGACAGTGATGCATCATCACACTTAGAAAACAGGGAGAAAGAGATAGACAAGAGCTAGAGAAGAGGAGTTGAGGAAGAAGAAGGAGAAGGAAGAGATAGTTAGCGGAGAATAACAATCACCAGATCTGAGTCGTGGTTCCTTCGCCGCTCGCCGCCGCTCACCGCCGCTCGTTGTTGCTCGCCGCCGCTATTGTTCATCGGCGCTCGCCATTGCTCATGCTCCTTCGCCACTGCTTTGGTTCGTCGCCATATATCTACAAGTCCCCTGTTCCAGACTTGCAAACCCGCACATAAGTTTAGAATGGGGGTGGTGTTTGAAGGGCAGAAATTAATTAGAGGGGTAGATGTGGTATAAAGGTCCTATTTTGGGAATAAAAGTGCACATACTCCTATTTTGGAATTTAAGCAATATTTTAGTCCTATTTAGGACAAAAACTCCATAATATAATAATACGCCTAAAGGAAAATATACACATACTCGTTTGACTTGCTACTTTTTTACGGAGTATCTTTATCATTTAGTGCTTTTTTTAGTAAACAAGAGTAAAAAAGAATCAAATAAATGTAGGAATTGTCATTGTCGAAGTTAAGTATCATTATTTTGAATAAAATGTCATTTAAATAATCAAATATTTAATCTTTTGGTATACCACATCACTATTTAAATGGTCTATTATTAATTGAACTCAAATTCTGGCGATAAATCTGACTTGGTAACGCCTGTGTTTGGACCGGTCTAATCTGAACCTTGTTTGGTCTATGACAAAATAAAGTAGTTCAATTGAAAACATTTTTATTATTTAAATTTACGCTAAATCTAATTTAATTGTGCTTAAAATAGTTATCTCTAATTTATTTAATTGTAAAAAAACCAATATACTTGATGCTATTGAATTACAAACAACATATTTCACTGAAGAAACATGGAATAAAAACAATTAATTTATCAACCCAAAATTAAAATTATACTTAAGTACTACTAAAACGAATTGTTTAATATTTAGTTCATTAATCAACATGCAAGAACATTTGAAAGTATGAGGTGATTCTAAAAATTGAAAATATCAAAGTTGATAATTTAATTTAAGAGCTCGTTTGGTTATCATGTTTTTTGGTTTATCAGGCGGGGTAATTTGAGTTTGCACCCCATATTATTGTCTAAATTGGATTTTGCACCCCATTTTTAAAAATCTTTGTTTTTGCACCTCAACCCCATATGAAAAGACCAAAATGCACCTCCATTAACAATTATGTTGACATTCAACATATTCCTGATTGAGGACATTTTTGTCTTTTCATATGGGGCTAGGGTGCAAAAACAAAGATTTTCAAAAACGGGTGCAAAGTCCAATTTAAACAATAATATGGGGTGCAAACTCAAATTACCCCTTATTAGGCTTATCAACCAAGATTTCTCTAAAAATGTAATCTTTGATTTCGCGCGTAGAATAGACTAATGTTAGTGTAGAGGTTTATGTTAGTTTTTTTCATATAATTTTTTCTTAATTTTATTAATAAAATACGAGTATATTTTAAATACTCCGTATAATTTTTTATAAATCAATAGAATCAGCCTATTCAGCTAGAACTTCATAAATTTCACAGAATCAACCATTCAACCAATTCTTATATTACCAAACGGGCTTTAAAAGTTGCCCGCAAATATTGTTGGCGTCAAAATTTTAGGTAATGAAAAAACGACAAAGAGATATTACCCAAAATGGGACTAAAAAAGTTTGGAAATTCCAAAATAGGACTTCCATGTTTTTATTCCCAAAATAGGACTAATTACTGTCATGTTTTGGCAGTACCAGACTTCAAACATGGCAGTATTTTCCAAATTTGGCAGTAATTAGTCCTATTTTGGGAATAAAAACATGACAGTCCTATTTTGGAATTTTCAAACTTTTTTAGTCCCATTTTGGGAACTTTCCCAATCGCTAAATGTAATCTATCAAATACCCTAAATCGCTAAATTTATTCTTTATAATTTAATCCATGTGTTAGTTCTGACAATATAAATATCATTTCTTCTTTTAACATTTTTAGTATCTAAAAACAACACAAAAAGGTTATAGAACAATATTTATAAAATTTAAATTAGAAATATGAATGATTGGTTAAATTTCACAACAAAAAGAAGAAAAATAACAACAACAAGAAGACTAACAAGATTATAAACGAAGGTAATGTTATAATCATTACTCCGTATTATATTGTTTAAACATAAATTAACATAATACGGAGTATAATTACTTTAGTAACAATATTGATGACGTTTATTCGAAAATACTACGTAACTAAATAAGTACAACCGGACATTGCTTTTATGCCGTTATTAATCCACTTGCATATTTGGCTCATTGGCACTTGTTAATTATGTCGATTACCTTTTTGTGTAGATATCATCAATGGATAGGATTGAAATTTGTCCTTGTAATAAAAGGTCAAAAATCACATCAATCCCAATGGATAATCCATAGACAAATTGTAATACGAGACCAAAAGTAAACTTAATGCTAAGCCATGATTAAGATTTATATATCTTCTTCTATTATACGCATTACATACTCTATTACTCGATCTATTGGGTAGCAGCGGTTTGAGCAATCCCCCATTGCTTTGAACTGCAAAACGCTACAATTTGCAACGGGTAGACACGAAATCGTCGGGAAAAAAAATGATCCCTTAGTGTGGCGTGGAACAATATCTATGGAGTTTAAGGAGAGGAACGTACACCACGGTAATGGTGGGCTGGTGGCTCTAGTATAACTGGAGATAAACAGCACGGTACAGTTGAACATGACATTATAATAAATATATATCGCACACATATAATATATTTACATTTCATAATTGCTCATAAATGAATAAAAAAGATGCCATTTCATCCTTGAAGGTCTTAGAAGAAACGACTTTGTAATTATTTGGGAGGGCGTAGATTGAATTTTGTTGACACACCAATGACAAGAGAGTGAGAAAAGAGTGAAGTTTGATTCCAAATCATTGCTTGGAATTACATCTACAACCTCTCACTTGTGACACTATCTTCGTACTAATTAGTTGTGCTCTCGTATCATGTTGATAGATATGTCACTCCAAATAATGACTTGAGATGTAACCTCACTTTTTTTTTATCAGAGTGAAATCAAAGTTCAACTTACATCCTTCCAATAATTGTCCAATCGATTTTAGGGAGCCCCAGCAAGTGTCCTCCTTTTTTCTCATAAATATGTCAGGTAGATATATCTCTATATAATATACTCGGTACTTTGTAATTCTAGTTTCTGTTTACTTAATTGATCCATGACAACCTCTGTTGAGAAAGCACTACACAAAAATTAGATGGAAATGGACAGTTGATCTTTGCATGTTTAGGTAGGCGTAAGGCTATGGATCGTAAGAGACAAGCCTACTTTCATTATTGTGTCATGCTATTCGGTAAACAAAACAACAATGTTGAACTATGAAAGCGATGGCATTTGTGACATTACTGAGTGGCTTTTGCTTTGTTGAACTTGTATTGCAAAATAAGCTAATATTCGGTAATGTACAAATTCACTTGTTGTAGCCAGACATGAATTTGTGTGACCCATTATGCATGTGGTGACGGTGTGGATTTTTTTGGTATTCAGTTCTGCTTCTTCGGTTAGAGGAGAATGAAATACTCCATCGGTCCATCCCCTTTTGTTGTACGTTGTAACCCTCCCATTTTGTAAGACATGATTTTGGTTTTGAATTATTCAAAAAGTATGAATGCTTTTCTAAATTAAATTTTATTAACGTTTTACTTTATCATTTTGGCTACCATCATTTCACAGTTGACTTTTTATTGACAACACCTTACTTTTAAGGGGGTGTATTGAATATGGATAGTGGTGGACTTTTTTTAATCCATGGACTTTTAAATCCGTAGACTTTTTTATGAATGAATTCTATGGACATTTAAATCCATTGATAAGTTTATTGACTTTCAGAAAGTCTATAGACTTTTAAATGTGGACCACCACTGTTTGGCGTCAGAATTTTCACCTAGATTGTCGCTACTGATCTGTCCATCTGCCTCCGTCATCGGAGTTCCCCACTGTCCTCATCGGACTGATCCACCACCAACAAAATGGCTTTGAATATGCAAGGGACTAGGGACAATTACTTATATTAATTAATTAAATTAGGGGTAAATATGTAATAATGTTTAGTCCTATTTAAGGAAAATAAACATATGATCATACTTTAAGAAAAGTGATACTCCGTATGTTTTAGTCCTACCGTGAATAATTTTCTATGTATAATACGGAGTAAATAAATAAATAAATAAATAAATAAATAAATGTAATTCATTTAGCAACACATGGATCTACAAGAATAAATGAAGCACAAGAATCCAAATTTATTGTTATTAAAAAAATCTCAAGGTTTCAAGAATGCTCAAGAATTTTGGTCATTTAATTAAGGGAAAATGGAAACTAATAATACAACTTTTTAGCGGTCTTCTTACAATAATCCAACCTTTTGGTTATTCATGAATAATCCAACCTTTGCACCTCATCTTCATTCACTGGTCCCTGACCGGTTGATGACCTGCTATTCCAAGCTATTTTCTTATCTTTGCAAATCATTATATCATAAATCTCATCTTTCACAAAGATAATATTTTGCAAAGATAAGAAAATAACTTGGAATAGTAGGTCATTAACCGACCAGGGACCAATGAATGAAGATGAGGTGCAAAGGTTGAATTATTAATGAATAATCAAAAGGTGGGATTATTGAAAGAAGACCATTAAAAGGTTGGATTATTAGTTTCCATTTTCCCTATTATTAATGAGTATGAGCATTAATCGTTTCACTCATTACTACATGTGGTACAAGCATAGATGCAATCGAGCTTTTCTTCTTAATAATTGTTTTCTTTTCTTTTCTATCTTGTAAAATTTTGTATACCTGTTTACGGTTATGTATTTATTAATTTGAAATTATATTTTTATGTGTTAGCGATTTAACGATGAAAGAAAGTAATAGTTAAAATATTTATTTTCTTATATTTTCTTAAAGGTTAAGTGACGACGTACCTGAATTGCACCGGTGTAATAATACCGATTCTTATATCGGTTCTTCTAGAAACTTCTAGAATGGAATTGATATGGGAATAACGAATCGAGGGGGATTGAGGGGGTGGGATGGGGCATGCTGAAGAAGAATAAGAACACAAGGAGTGAGGTGGGGCGAGCCGGGCTAAAGAATAATAATAATAATAATAATAATAATAATAATAATAATAATAATAATAATAATAATAATAATAATAATAATAATAATAATAATAATAATAATAATAATA